GCGGCACAAGTATTTGTGGACCACAGTCTAATTCATCAGATGCATGAGTGTTATCCTGAGTTGTAGAGCTATATGTGCACATAATATTGTGGGGTGGAATTGTAAACAACGAGGTATTCACTTTCATTTTGGTGCTTACAGTATCGCTCCCATTCCCAAACCAAATACATCAGTATAACTCTCATACACATATGGTGAAGTGGAGAGAATGTGGTCCAGAAAAGCTTACGCCATCATAAACGTGTTTGTTTTGTCACAATGCTCTTTGTTCTTTGAGTTTCCATTCAAATAAATGAGACTGGGGGATGCTGAGAAGCCCAGCTGTGAGATTTTGTTTCAAACCAGAAACACAGATATCATTAGCTGAAGCACCCAAAGTGCCCTTTCCTTGCTCTGGCAGGCGAATGAGACGGTAATGAGACTTTCAAGCTTGTTTGTGACAGATTAGTTTTTATAATTATAGAATCATATAGGATCATAGAGTTGGAAAGGCCCTGAGAGTCATCTAGTCTAACCCCTGCAATCCAGGAATCTTTCTGCCCAACATGGGGCTTGAATCCACGACCCTGACATTAAGAGCCTCATCAGAAAATGAGAAAAGTTGTAAGGGACCAGGCATCCAGGACAGATGGCCATCCATCCTCTGCTTAAAAACCTCCAGTGAAGGAGAGTCTGCCATCTCCTGAAGGAGTCCGGTCCACTGTCAAACAGCTCTTACTGTCAGAAAGCTGTTCTTGATGTTTAGTTGGAATCTCCTTTCTTCTAACATGATAGCCCTTTAGATATTTGAAGATGGTTTCCTATATCTTCTCTCTCCTCTTGTCCAGGCTAAACATACCCAACTCCCTAAACTTTCCTCACAAGCCCTGGTTTCCAGATCCCTGATCATCTTGGTCTCCCTCCTCTGCACACATCCTAGCTTGTCAACATCCTTCTTAAACTGTGACTCCCAGAATTGGACACAGCATTCCAGATGTGGTCTGACCAAGGCAGAATAGAGTGCTACTATTAGTTGCTCTCGAAGCTACCAGCATGAGTCTGACCAAACTGTGGGAGGCAGTGGAAGACAGGAGTGCCTGGTGTGCTCTGGTCCAGGGGGCCATGAAGAGTCAGACACGACTAAACGACTAAACAACAACAATTAGTTGCCTTGATCAGGACACTAAACTTCTGTTGATGCAGCCTAGAACATTAGCTCTTTTTGCTGCTGCATCACACTGTTAACTCACATTAAGCTTGTGGCCTACTAAGACCCCTAGATCCATTTCGCATGTACTACTGGCAAGCCAGGCGCAGCTCTCTAAGGAAGGGTGTAATATGATGACAGGGTTTTACTCCTTGTTAGCCATCATGCTACAGTGCACTGCATACACTGCAGTTTTCAGACCAAGCACCAGGAAGTTCCATCTTAGATGGATTCAGATTTCACCCTAGCTTATCACCTTGTCTGTGGGCATTTTGCAATGGATGTAATTGTGATGGGGCTTCAATATACATGTTGGCCCTTAAATGATATGTTTGTTATATGAGCTCTTAATGAGTACACTATCTTAAAAAAAAAAAGTCAAGGAATTATGTTCAAAGAATTGCATTCCCCTGTGTTTTTTACTTATTTATCACACTCAATTTCACCCAGTTTAATAGAATGGTGTAAGGGTGGCAAGGTGTGGTGGTGAATAGAAAATGGACAAAGAGAGGCTAAATGAGTCATTAGTTAATGTATTGATTAATTTTTTTTAAATCCAGATTCAAAATGCATTTGCTTGATTCTGCTTATGGTACCTCATATTAGAGTTTCACAATTATTTGTCAATTTTCTAGTATGTCAGTATTTTTTTTTAAAGTCTCACTTATGGGAGTAACCAGAAAGTGTAAACATCCAAAATTAGAAAAGCATCTCTCTCTCTCTCTCTCTCTCTCTCTCTCTCTCTCTCTCTCTGTGTGTGTGTGTGTGTGATGATCTCTTAGAAGTAATCAATCCTCCTATTTGTATTTGTAGCCTTCCTTGTCTCAGGGACTAAGAGAGTGTAACAGTATCACAGGAATATGAAATACATGTCTTCCTGTCCACCCCCTGCTGTCCTCTCAAACAGGCACTGCACCCACCATGGCAAAGGAGCAGAAGTGTAGAGAAAGGCAGATTTCTACTTGCCAATTAAGTTTCCTTACAAGTAAACATGCGGCATGGGTTTATTTTACCAACTCCTGGATATTTTAAAGTTAATAGTATTGATGCAGTATTAAGGGCACTCATTAAGATACTCATTAAGAGCTCATATAACAAACATATCATTTAAGGGCCAACATGTAATAGTATTGATTATAGCTGCAGTCCATAGTCTAGTAGTGTTATTCTTCTTGTTCTGTTCTGTTTTTAGACATCTCCCCCACTCACCAATTTGTTGGCATATTGTTCATTTTTTATACTTGGTTTAGTTTAGCTGCTTTGGACAGTTCTGTTTCAGACATAAAATTTATTAACAAACAAACACTCTTACCCCACCAATACCTGCTAATGCATAGTAAACTTTCCTTGATGTGGTTTTTTCTGTATGTGTGTGGAGGAGTTTATTATTTTTCCAGTTTTAAAACTGCCCCCATCTCTGCTTCAGACTGAACTATTGGTTTATTAAATTTGTATATCGCCGTTCACCCAAGAATCTCAGGGTGGTTCACAGCATAAAATACAAGATAAAGACACAAAATACATAACGAAAAGAAGAACAAACCAAACCAATAATGCTCCATCCCGCAGACAAATTTAAGAGGATAGAAAGATCCAAGTTTGCTGTGGCCAAAAATCCCTGTTTGGTAGCAGTTTGCCACTTCTCCCAGATAATGAGTACCACTTTGAGTACTACCTCCCAGATAATGAGTAGGCATGGCGTATCTCTGGGGACCAGCATTTATGGCTGTCCTTCAGCCTAGTCACTGCTTAATGACTTGTCAAATAATTGTGACCATATCCAGCTGACTGCAGTTAGAAGCTGAAAAAATTGTGGGAAGAGCAAGACCAGCTGCAGGTGAGACAGGCCTCCAAGCAAAGTGCCCTCCAATGTAACTGGGCTTACTTGGTGGTGAAATAGGCAATGTAATATCCACAATCCGTGAGTCACCTCCCATCCTGACACTCCCCAGAAGCCCTCATATAGCATCACTCTGGCATTGTGGAAACATCAAAATTGTAGCTTCCTAACCTCCCACCAATAGCGCTTGGTAAATTTGAACTGGAGGAGGAGGACAGGAAGAAGGGCCCAACCCAGGAACCCCGTCCAACGGTGCTAGGTTCCTGGGGAAGACAAGTTAGTCTACATAAGAGCAGCAAAAATATTTGGTGGAGGGGAAGTTCTATATGTTTCAAGAGTTATTGCTTCAGCAGACTCTGTGGTGGAAGCCATTTTGCATGTGGTTTTTATCTGATGTTGAGTTCTACTCACTGAAGTTAATGGGCATGATTAACTTAGGTGCCGTAATTTTCAGTGGGTATTCTCTGAGTAATACTTAGCAGGATACAACCCTATGTGATTATGTCTGTCAGGCCATTCCCTAAGATACAGAACAGTCAAACGCTTTACACTAAACAAGGATTCAATCAGGAGTCAGCAAACTTTTTTCAGCAGGGGGCCGGTCCACTGTCCCTCAGACCTTGTCGGGGGCCGGACTGTATTTTGGGGGGGAAATGAACAAATGCCTATGCTCCACAAATAACTCAGAGATGCATTTTAAATAAAAGGACATATTCTACTCATGTAAAAACATGCTGATTCCTGGACCGTCCATGGACCGGATTGAGAAGGTGATTGGGCTGGATCCGGCCCCCAGGCCTTAGTTTGCCTACCCATGGATTAAATGCTTCCATGTGCCATATGAGCCAGCCTGGATAATCTCAATGTTTAATGAGATATGCAAGCAACATTATTGTGACAATAGTGACATATTTGTGACATTTGCCCATCAGTGGTGGAAAACCAAAGCTCTACCCTGCATGCGCATTAAACTGATAATGCTGCTGTCTTTCAGTATTATACATTTCTGCCTAAGCAAAGCATGTTGCTAGAGAGGCTGGCAGCATCATGTTCATAATTACAAGCATAGCTGTGTAACGGAATATTATGCATTGCAAAACTAGGATGAGTTTAATAATGAAGGTTAAATGACTATAATGTCCCCAAATCAAGCAAACAAGTTTTTTCCCCCTTGTGTGTGTGTTTGTGTGGGAGGGGAGTTTTGTCAGTATTTTCCCCAATGACAACAAAATATTGAGAGAGAAAGAAATTGACAAATGTAGCATGTAATGGTCCTTCTTGAAGCACTTCTTCAGGGGCCTCATTAGTAGATATTTTAGTACAATCATTTTTACCCCTGTGGCAGTCACTCCAGCCAACTCAGAAAAGGTGCCTCCAGGAGCCGATCAGAGGAATGCCTTTCTTAATTTCTTCCCTTTAAAAAAAATGAGGCACAGGGGAACTAGTAGGCTCTAATTGAAATCAGAATTATTGTTGCCATAAATTCAAGCTGTGCCCATAGGCTATAGTGTTAGCACTGGATAAACTTATGGAAACTTTTTTTCTGTTTAATTATCCCTGATTTATAATGCTATTATTCATATTTAGACTTTGCTCAGGGTTGGGGGGGGGGTAGTTTATTTTTTCACATTTTAAAAAAATGCTTTGAAAACGTGAGTGCATATTTTGACATTAAAACTTGCAAAATATTATTATAATATTTCTTTGTTCTGCACCTTTTTCCAGTGACAGGGACTCAAGGAGGCTTACAGATAAAATAGGAACAGCTAAAAACATTGTGGGGAAGGAAACAATAATTAAAAAACAAGCATTAATAGAATTTAAATGATATATAAATGTAAAAGATCTATTAAAAACACACAGATAACTTCCATAAAAATAGCAGGGAACCCTCTCTTTCATTAAAAGCGGTCAGTTTCCAAAAGCCAGTAGGAACAGGATGGTTTTCAGCTGCCAGAGGAAGGAAAACGAAGAGGGAGCCAGTCTAACTTCTCTAGGGAGGGAGTTTTAAAGTTTGGGAGAAGGCCCTCTGCCATGCCCCTACCAAGTGCGCCTGCGAGGGTGGCAGCTCTGAGAGAAGAGAACTCAAAACCCAACCGGGTTCATAGATTAATAGAATTTTAGAGTTGGAAAGGACCCAAGTCCAACCCCCTGTGATGCTAGAATCAATTCAAGAATCCCTGGCAGGTGGCAATCGAACCTCTGGTTACAAACCCCCAATCGTATGAGGAAATAGTTTCAGATAGTTTGAACCTAAGTCATATATGTTACTTGTCTTGTCGTGTTGTGAACTACCCTGGTATTATTGATGAAGGGCTGAATAGAAGTTGTGTTTAAAAAAAACAAAACAGATGAAAACTTTTAATAACTATTTCTTAAATAGGACAAACGCTTTACAGAAAACAGCCAATCTAACTTGTTTTACGTGTCTGCTTTTAATTTTCTATTGTACTATTGTATGAACTAGAAAAATGAACCCAGGATGAGACTACGCTGGTGGGCAGGGATTATGCAAATAGAACGAAGTTTGACTAGCAATGGATGGGTGCCTACAGGCAGAGAACAGGTTTAGTTCCCATACACTGGTGCTCTTCTATGCAATTTGAGGTTCCTCCGAGTCTGGCTTGGAAGAAAGCTTGGAAAGGTGATGTTTTAAACTTCCACAGACTCTTCTCTGTCTTAAAACTACCACCTTTCCACGTCCTCAAAAGCTCTGTATGCCAGCTTTCTCCATCCTCATTGAAGTAGTTGATGTTTTAAGCAAATCTGACAGGCTCCTCCAAATCAGTGTATATCCAGCCCATATCACTTTCACAAGTTTACATTTGTAAGTCTGTTCTGTCCCATTTATGCACTAATCTGTGATTTTTGTTTAAAAACTCTAAATCTTGCACTTAAATCATATTTAAATACAGTCCTTAAATATATTTCTTTCACAGTTCACATTTCTAAACAAATTTTATCTCCAAATATTCATTTTAAAATGCATTTTGATACTTTTTTTAAAGTGAAAAACTGTGTCACAACTTGAGCAGAAATGCTAAATCCTATGGACAGCTAGGCTCCAAGATGCCCATTAGCCCAGATCAGTATCAACATAGACCAGAAAAAGGCTATGCATTCATCCTCTGTTTAATTGCCGGTAGCTTACAATGCAAGCCATGTCTGCTCAGAAGTAAGTACTATGGAATTCATTTGGGCTTGTTCTCAGATAAATGGGGCTAGGATAACAGTCTTAGTCTCACTTTCATTTGGTGAACAGGACAAAGGGTTCCCCTATGTGGTGCCTGCAATTTGCCATAAAGACCTTCTCTGGTTCTCACCAGATCCTTTCCCCCTGTTTGAAAGCAACAGTCTACTGTGACCATCATAATAGATGGGTATGAGTGTATTGTTACTTAAATAATTTCTATACCGTGTTATATTTTGAAAAATAAATCTCAAAGTGGTTTACAACCTAGCTTAAAACATCCAAATAAGCCTTTACAGTAATACCTAAATAAAACTTTACAGATAAAGGTCAAACACAAAATTCATGTTTAAAGCAGCATGATTAATAGGAAAACAAAAAATACTCTCTCAAACATGAAAGGCGAACACTGCAGGTAAAAAACTGAAACTCAAAAATGAAAGAGAACTCTCATTAGCAACAACGCAAAGTAACTGAAATTGAAACAGTCACCATTCCCAAATACTCCCCATGCAAAGCTCTCATGTATTCCCACCAACCCTATGGATAACACAGTTATTCCTCTGCCAACCATTTATTTCAAAGCAAGAATCTGGTCTACAAAACCCCATAGCAGTATTAAGCATAATTTACAACCAACTCATTCACCCACCTCCATCTAGGGCAATCTAGTATAATAAAAGCAGCAACGGAACCACTCCCTCCTTAGGGCTGTTCTCTATACCCGTTCCGTCTCTCTCACTGACTCATATTAGGCAACTTTAAAACACAGAAATACATTACAACCCAGTCTCAGTAAAAACATGATTTTTACTGAAAACTCTGATTCCAGTTACCAACCAATAATACATTGCTCCCTTTCTCCTACTAGATAATACATCCAACAGAACAAAATTAAAGGGGTGATTACCTCAGGTGACCCGAGAAACAAAGATGGAAGGATTTAACCATTTCCGTTTCCTCGGTTTCTTGTTTTTTCAATCTTAAATTAGTTCTCGGCATTTGGCAGCAATTTGTGGTATATTTATAATAAATTAATAATAATTGCATTATTGTATTATTTCTACCCCACCCATTTAAAAAATCCTTATGAAAATTCATTGTCATTTTAGTGCTAATTTCAATTCACAACCATATTTTTAAGTGCAGTTTTGTACACGTTTTTGCATGCAGATTTCCACAATAAAATGCATTTTTGTATGCTGTTTTCAACAATATCTTAATTTTTATGCATTTGTATTTTTGTAAACATTGTTTGGAGAACAGCATTGGCAAAATTCTGATAAGTGCAAATTTTGAAGGAGAGCTGTGTTTTGCTCCACATATTATTCTGGAAAGTGTGAATTTGATGGAGTTAGTTTTATAGAATCATAGAATTATACGTTGGAAGAGATCCCAAGGGTCATCTAGTTCAACCCCCTGTAATGCAGGAGTCTCAACTGAAGCATCCATGACAGATGGCTGCCCAACCAGGGAATGAGATGCAAGTCAATTAGCTGCAGCTGTTTCCACTTGCCTGCTCCTCTGGAATCAGCAACAGGATCTTGGCTGGCAGGACAACCAGGAACAGGGTGGGCAGAAGGATGGACTTGCCTCTGTCCTGTCACAGGATCCCTCAGCAGCTGCTGCCACAAGGGAAACTGAAATATATTTCATGCTCTTTATTTCAGCTCATGGTCATCAGTGAGTGAGTGAGTTCCCCCCCAAAACCTCTGGCTATATATGCATTATTTATACAATGGGTCCCGCGTGATTGGCTGATTCAGTTCCCCTCCTGGAGCCTGATTGAGCTGCTCCTGCAGACCAATCAAGTTGCTGCCTTCTAGGATCCTAGAGCAGGTCAGTGAAGTGACCAAAACAAGTTTATTCAGTTTGCTCATGTGCCCCCCCAAAGTTGACTACTGCTAGTAAAGGGGTTTGCGAAGGGGCTTGAAAGAGACATCATCGTAGTTATGGCTTAGTAATCTTATCTGTATATGAACAGACCTTATCCCCACTTGCCAGACAAATATGTAGAATGGAACTGAGTTTCCCTGAATGTTCTGACACAATTCTTGGCTCAGGAAACACATCAGAATGTACTTTAAAATGCATGTTTTGAGACAGCACATGCTTAGGAATGCATATGCTGAGGGGGTAAACCCATTTAGAAATATTAATTTAATGTGAATATCCGTATCTATCTATAGAGATATAGGTAAATGTATATGAAACAAGAACAGACATATGAGTGAACATATGTGAAAGTTATATCGATTATAAGGATCATAAACAAACTGGTTGCCTATGCCTAGTGAGACGCTACTGAACAGGAGAAAGAGGCAGCCTGGGTTTACCAAATGAAACCACCTTGGTTATTTTAAGCTAGTAAGTGAGACACAGTTTGGCCATATTCACAGTCTGAGAAGAATACTTTGTTGTTTGGGGAAGAGATATTGACTGAAGACTAGTATGACCTGAGTATTTGGCTGCATGTATCCCTGCTACTCAACTTGTATACCGGTATATAAACAGACATAGCATTTATAATAAGTCTCACGTAGCTTCACAAGAAAGCTGCTTATATAAAAGGCTACCCTGAAACTTCCTGCAGCTTGGAGGAAGTGGATAATTCAGAGAAATGCATGCCTTGTTTTTAAAACATCTTCATGTAGGTACTTAAGGATGCAAAGGACACAGCAGTCTTTCAAGGGGCATAAGAGTAGACAGCAACCGTTTGTGCTGGGCTATCTCATCTGTTCTGCTTAAGGCGCTCCAACATTTATCTCCATTTAGTGAACATTGATTAAAGTTCTGACTTGCAGCCACTGTTCCATGTGACATGAGACAAATCTAGGGACAAAGGGTGAGAGACCTGGATTTCCCTTCCTTAAATCTTTCTTACTTATAAAGATCAAATGTTGCTGTGCACTCAAAAGTATTGGGTGACACCTATATTTTGGACCAAAAGGTCTTGGACTGACTGTGGACAGTGCAAATCCCCACTCAATAGCAGACTTTGGGCCAATCATGGTTACCTCTCAGGGTTGTAGTGAGGATGAAAACAGGAAAGCCTACTCAACTTGCCATGATGGATGCAAAGGTGCCATCAGACTCCTATTTATTACCGGTATCTTTTATTTATTGAATTTATATACCTGAAAGTCTCAGGGCCATTCACAGAACAAAATCAAAATACAAAACCACATAATATATAATAAAAATAAAAATAACAACAACTCAACCCCCCCCCCAAAAAAAGGGCATAGGATGTCAATCAAATCAACCATAGGTCTGGCTAAAAAGGAACATTTTAGCCTGGCACCTAAAGGTGTGTAATGAATGCTCCAGGCGAACTCCCCTGGGGAGAGCATTCCACAGATGGGGAGCCACTGCAGAGAAGGCCCATTCTCGTGCTGTCATTCTTCAGACTTCTCAAGGAGGAGGCAAATGAAGAAGGGCCTCAGCAGATGATCTCAGGGTTCGGGTAGGTTCATACGGAGAGAGGCAGTCCTTAAGGTATTTCAGTCCCGGGCCTTTTAAGGCTTTATAAGTCAAAACCAGCACTTTTAACTGGGTCCAAAAACTAATTAGTAGCCAGTGCAGTCAGACCAGGATCGGTGTAATATGTTAAAACTCTCTTGCTCCAGTGAGCAACATGGCCACTGAATTCTGCACTAGCTGAAGTTTCCAAACCATCTTCAGAGGCAGCCCTACGTATAACGCATTGCAGTAATCTAACCTTGAGGTTACCAGAGCATAGACAACAGTAGTTGGGTTTCCTGTCCAGATAGGGGCATAGCTGGGCCACCAGACAAAGCTGATGGAAGCAACTGAGGCCACCTGAGCCTCAAGCTACAGCAAGGATCCAGGAGTACCCCCAAGCTATGAACCTGCTCCTTCAAAGGAAGTGTGACCTCATCAAAAGCAGGCGATCTCCTATCCATCTGGTCTAGGGAACCACCCACTAACAGTGCCTCAGTCTTATCTGGATTGAGCTTCAGTTTCTTGGCTCTCATCCAGTCCATTACTGAGGCAAGACACTGGTCCAGCACTTCCACTACCTCACCTGCAGATGTAAAGGAGAAATAGAGCTGAGCATCATCAGCATACTGCTGACAATGAACTCCAAACCTTCGGATAACCCCACCCAGCAGTTTCATGTAGATGTTAAACAACATGGGGGATAGGATTGAGCCCTGCAGAACCCCACGTTGAAGATTCCACAGAGTTGAAAAGCATTCCCCAAGCAACATCCTCTGGGAACGACCACCCAAGTAGGACTAGAACCACTGCAAAGCATTGCCACCCACCCATAGTTTGGACAGTCTCTCCAGAAGGATACCATGGTCGATGGTATCGAAAGCCACTGAAGAGTTGAGGAGAATTAACAGGGACATGTTTCCCTGGTCTCTGTCTCTCGACACAGGTCATTATACAAGGTTACCAAAGCAGTTTCTGTGCCCAAATTGGGCCTAAACCCCGATTGAAATGGATCCTGAAAATCAGTGCTGCCAAAAGCACCTGGATCTGGTCTGCGACCACTCGCTCCAGAACCTTGGCCAGGAAAGGGAGATTAGCAAGTGGTCGGTAGTTAGTTAGGTTTCTCGAATCCAGGGAAGGCTTCTTAAAGAGACTCTTAATTTCCTTAGTCTCCCCACATTGGGCAAAAGATCCCTGTATTGTAGGGGGTTGGACTAGATTAGGACAATCCAACTTTTCATACCAAGCGGGCCTGTGAGCCACATACTGCCTTGCCATGTGGGGAGGGAGGAGAAAGTCAAAAATTTGACACCCCCAGCCCTCTCACAGCCTTCCCAGTACTGGCTAAGTGAGGCGGCAGGCTTTGGGAAGGAGGTGCAAAACTCTGGGAAGGTCCCAGAGCCTTCCCACCTCCTTCCCTAAATGGGAAGGTCCCTCTAGGTCGCTTTCAGAGCCCTCACGCCTCTCTCCCAAAGCCCAGCACCTCCTTACCCAGCTTTGGGAAGGCAGTGTGAGGGCTCCAGGGGTGCGGCATCATGTGTTGCTGAGGGCTGTCAAAAAAGGCCTTGGGGGCCACATGTTGGACCGCCCTGGACTAGATGATGCCTGTGGTCCCTTCCAACTCTGCAATTCTATGATTCTATACCCTTTATATCAGGGGTAGGCAACCTAAGGCCCGGGGGCCAGATGTGGCCCAATCGCCTTCTAAATCTGGCCCTGGATGGTCTGGGAATCAGCGTGTTTTTACATGAGTAGAATGTGTCCTTTTATTTATTTATGTTTCAAAAGTATGGTTGTGATTTTTTCTTGATTTTCCTGTTTTATCTTTTTGTAAACCGCTTGGAGATTTTGTTTTCTTTTATTACAATCAAGTAGTGTAAATATCTTCTTAAATATGTAAGAAAATAGTTGCAAAAATGACATATATTTTCAAGAGCTTCTCAGCATCATTAACGTTTGAGAAAGGTAAAGCCAGTATTTAATAAATGTATTTTTCTCTTACAGTTTATGCTTTAGATGTAAAGTATTCAAGATAATGGGAGGAAAAAAATAAACAAATGTGTCAATCAGATATGGTATGTGTTCAACATTATGACAGAAGTTTTTAAAAAGCTTGCTGGAGCTGTTGACACAAAGCAATTGGGCAGGCAGGATTTCAGTCACTTGAGAAGATAGGATTAGAATCAAGGATTAGAATCCAGAATAACCTTGATAGATTGAAGAATTGCCTGGAAGCAATAATATAGGATTTATCAAAGACAGATGTAAAGTGTTGTGTGAAATAGAGCTGGGTGTCATTCACATGCTGGTGATAGTGAGCACTGAAACCCCGGGCGGCTGCCTGCCAGGGTTACCATCATAGGGGTGTTAAATAGCAAGGTGGGGCAGAATAGAGTTCCGCAGCACAATTTCCAAGGGCTCTCCAAGGGAAGTCATCTCCCATTCCTACAGACAGAAGCAGAACTACATAATGCCTCCAGCTCCCAACCCACAAGGTGGGGATCATGGCTAAAAGAGATGAAAGAGAATAAACAACACTGGATCCCCTGGTCCGCCTTCGGATACAGATCATCCAGCAGAGTCCAAAACCAGGGCTAAAGCAGCTTGAAATGATTCAAGAGGAAAGTCACTTGAAGAGGGTTAGACAGACACAGGCCTCCCTATGTGATGTTCTCTCAAGCTCCCAGAGTACCTTAGTTTCTGCTGCCATTTCCTGTGGTAGGACAGGCAGGGTCTGGCAGCGGGAAGGAGGGATGCACATCATAATTATCAGGACATTTTTGGTTCCAGGGAAAGGGGGAACCAGTGATACAGGTTCTTGGGCCTGAAGATCATCTCACCAGCACTGCCTTTTGCTTCTCCTGGGACTACAAGCATCCTGATTATTATGGTGAGCATGTCTCCAGAGCACATAAAAGATCTGACACCAAGAGCAGAGTCTAAAGGGCATTTGTCACTAAATGTCATACTGCCAGAAGCATAAGGAGCTTAAACAAAGGGAACTCAAAGAACTCAAAGACACCAATGAATCCTCTATTTTTAAAGAACACCAAAAAAACAGAAATGGGATCATGAGCTTTGGGGAGGGAATAACCATGATTCAACTTTGTTCCAGCCCCAGAGAAGTTACTGTGTACAGATCACAGTACTAATTTTTGTTCTGAGCATCTTTAGCAAGAAAATATCAAATGAATGACCCAAACCTTCTGTAGGTTGCAGGGCTAAATGAGAAAAAAGAGCTAAGGGGAAAATGACTTTCCTTATTTCTGTGAGTGTCAAAAAGTCTCTTGCATTTTCAGTTAATTTAAGCAGTTGAAGACATCCATGTGTTGTTTTTTGGTGCTGTTCCTCTTATTTCCCGTCATTATCTGTCCCACATTGTAATTTAATCCAGCTGGTCATGGAAGCCCCTGTGATTCTATTGACATTACAGTGCCATGATATTACAGAAACAAGTAAAAAATAAATAAGATCACACCACAACCAGATTAAAGCACAGTGCAAACAAATGAAGCTGAAAAACTAGAATCAACACAAATGTTCCCATGTATATATATATATGCATTAAATGTGCTGATTGCTAATGGAATATCAAAATTTATAGACTATTCAGTGTGGCCAGATTCAAATTTCCAGCAGGTGAGCTCTAGATGATAGTTGCAGAGGTGTTTTTGCCAAAAGATGCTATTGCAACAGGAGTCTGTTGATTTAAACTGAGCAAAAGTGGTAATTTTGTGAGATATTTTTGTGGCTCCTCAGCCGACTGTATGAGGCCAACAGGCATAGATTTTAAAAAGAAGTTTCTGGCACCCAGTGAGCCAGAGACAACTGGTTATTATCCCAGGTAAATTGCTCAAATCACTGAATAGTATGCTCACTCCAGTCAGATGGAAAGTGAATTCACATTTGTGTGGAATTATACTGTGAGCCAGTGCAACTGAAAGATTAGACATCAAAATTTTCCAGGTAGTGTTTAAAAATCTCTCTTCGTCCCTCCTTACCCAGCCGGCATAAGGAATTATTCCTTGAGTGAAATTAATCTCTAACATCTGCATGAAGCAGGCACTGTAGCCCTTTGCAATATGCACACGAAGAAACCATTGCAGTAATCATATTTTAAATACAGGAGGAGGAGGTCAAGCAGCAAAGGAAGCTTAATATGAAACCACCTCCTCCTGCTTGCTAGTGAATGGGGAATATGCATGATTTGGCTGTGATGGTTTTTTTGTTGGTTTTTTAAAGTTAATTTATGGTTTGTATATGTACCTTGTTTTCATCATCCACAGTCCCCCAAGGGGCTATTAACATGTTCAAAACAAATACAATTAAAAAAATTAAATAACAATAAAACCAGAAAATCAAATAGCTTAAGAACAGGGGATAGCAATAGTTCTTAACACAAAAGCCTGACAGAAAAAAAGGGGGGGGGGGGTTGCTGGGAAGCAGATCTGGCTGATCTCTCTCAGGATGGAATTCCACCCACCCATTTCATTATGCTCAGAATAAACATCTCTTGATATTGGCAAAGGTTTCCAGTGTGGGATGAGCGGTACAAGAGCACATTACCTGGCTCTGTGTGCACAAATGAGAGCAGTGGAGAGGTTTCAGGTGTGCTCCACTGCCATTGAGAGATGCCAGTTCTGTGGGAGAAATTGAGGTCGTTGGCTCACGCACATGTTGTGTTAGGCACACATAGGGAT